TATATGCAAAATTTGCTAAATGCACAGTTTGCAGTGAAGGAAGAATTTAGTTAGACACATGCCAGTGTAAATTCACATAAAAGACACATTTCTGTTATGAAAAGAGCCTAAATACTTGGAGAATTTTAATTACAAGCTCTATACTTTCTAGTTCTATATTTTAATCCTAATAAAATAGGATAAAATAGGTCTTGCATTCTTCACACAACAAATACAATAATACAAAATATACTATTCCCTCATGTATTTTTTGGATAAAATAATACAATTGAAATATTTTAATTAAGCTAGACTGGCTTACAATTCATGGGCTTGTTCCTTTGTTTTTCTGCTTTGGTATTGTAGTAGAGTATAAGAAAGACTTTGAACCGCTACAGTTTAAATGAACAGTTTGTTTTAGCTTTCATAAATGACTCTGGACTGTAAGAACACATCAGGTAAAAACTAATGCTGCTTTTGTAGTGAATAATTCAAATAAATCAGTTCAGCCACAGCATGAGAGAGCTGACTTAACAAAAGGAACCCCTGTAAATATTTTTGAAAAACGGATGTATTACCRATTAGCGACTAAAATGTATAGTGCCTGAATTACAAAACATGCCGAATTCCCCYTGATTAACTTGACTGCGAAAACTTATCACAAAACCTTTTTTTTTTTTTTCATGAGAATGCATAATCTGAGAAACGTAGCTAATTGCTAGTTTCAAGATGTGACTTGTATAAGAACAATCAATTACTATGGAGGGAATAGAAGGAAGTTTCCACATTCTCAGAAATCAAGCGTGCAGATTAGTTTTCTTCAGATTTCAGTCCCAGCACTGCAAGTGAATAACCTGCAATACTAATTTAAATGTATGAAATGTTCAGTACATGTGCAATGTTGTTTAGGTCCTGAAAAAATGGGACAATTTCCCATACATGGGACAAATTCCCATAGCATAYGAATGCTTCTGAGAAATAATCACATAAATAAAAATATTTATAAATTCTTGTAGGATGAAGTTTCAATTGTTTTGAATAATAAAGGTTGATGTTTTTTAACTGAATAAAAAATAAAAACAAGCTTAAACGAAATAAATTTAGAGGACTGGAAAGAATATGTAGTATAGAGTTAATAATAAACAGGTGTTTTAAGAGGCAGCTGTGGTAAATATTTTGAARTGACCCCTGCTAGGAGGCTGGAAAACTGATCAGCTTGCAGTCTGTAGGAAAGGTATTTTTTTGGAATGATGTTAAGAACAAAATGTAAAGGAACAAGCATGATCTAAGACTTCTTAATACAAAATATTAAAACCTGAAAAAAAACACAGAAATGACAACAAAAAGGAGGAATGAAAGTGGTCAAGGCTTTTAGAACTTACAAAGCCAAAGTACAGTACTGTTATAAACAAGGATCTGCTGGCAGTTTGTCACAGATGTGTTGCCAATTTTTATGTCATTTTTTTCCGGATGATGACTTTTTGAAAGRCAAAATAATCATCTTCAAGGCTTATCAGGTGATTTCTGTAATTATTACAGAACTACTCATTCTAGTCATCTGCAACTTTTTCTATGGGATAAACTACTCATCCTGCCCGATCCTCCAATTCAGGGTAGAGGAACAGTTTCCTTTGACTTCACTGGGAATCTGGCAGATGACTTTTCTCCTTGCCAATAAAAGTTTAGTCTTTTTTATTCAATAATAGGAAGTAYGGAGTTTTCATAATTCTCTAAGAACCTCTGAATGACTGTCCAGTTTCAGTGTTTGCTCTCCTATAAGGTTTATTTCATTGGGTTGTTCATTTTCAAGAAGAGAATAAAATATTAACTTGAAAAATTAACTTAAAAAGTGGCCATGTAGCTTTTGTTTCATGTTATTTAACCATGTCAACCAAGAATGTACTGGCTGGAATCATGTTGGATTGAAATAATGAACACATTTTTATTRTAAAATATATCTTTAAAATAATTGTCCTAAAGGTAACTGTTGTTTGGGGACAGATCACTTTCGTGAAGGAAATTCACTTCCTTTGCTCTTTTCAGAATCCTTAAGTTTACTTACTGGTATTTACTTAAATACAACTGCACAGTAGATTACTGCAGCCTTTTAAAGTGGTGAACAAACTACCTTTTCATGGGAATTTCAGTTCAAAACTTGACATGATGTCTTGAGACCTCCATAAAACATTCACATCATGGCAAATTTGCATATTATTATCATCATTATTATTATTTTCTGTGTTTGAGACACCATACAGACACTATTGCATATTTGAAGCATATGGATATCTGCTTAGGTACTTGTATGTGAAGTTGCTTCTGTCGAACTGGTAGTGGATGTTGGTCAAATGACTCTGCAAGCATGAAACAGGATGCTGCTTAGAAATATGTTCTCCCTGTACTATTTGCATCAAAAAATCACCCTTGGAGTTTAGATGAGCGTTGGCCATTGACTGAAATGGAGACATCGCTGGGCTTCACGTCTGCCTGTTCACAAGGAAAACATGGAGCTGAGCAAATAACAGGTAGCAGAGAGATGAGTTCAATATAGAAGCAACAGCAAGCAATAGGAATAAGGATTTTTCAAGTGCTTCAGGCAATCGCTGATGAATCCAGAAAGGATGAAGCATTGATTCTCCCTCCTTGCCTTGATGATACTGTGATGAAATTTTCTCTTTCCCTGAGTTAACATTTATTTTATACAGGACTTCCATGCAACGTGCCAAACTTGGGCAATCCTGTGTGGCAAACCACGCCCTTCTAATGACTTCCAAGTTGCATATCCTTATGTTGCATCCTTGCAACCTACAGTTCACTAGACAGGAWGGTGAACAAATGGCCTTTGGCCATTTGTTTTTGCAGGGGAGGAAGAAATGCAACTGTTTCCTTGCTAATGGCAAAAAATAGGTGTGCAGTGTACAAGGGGTGAGGAGAACCATGGGTGCTGCATTAGCTCAGCACTGCACATCACTGCTTTGCTGCAARGCTGCAAGCACGCGCTGCTGTGGCCTGAGTCGTCTTAGACATGGGCCAGCTACTTATTCCCTACTTTGCAGAAGAGGGTGGATTGAAACGTGTTCTGTTAGAAAATCAACAAAAAATGTTGCAGCTGAATTCTCAGGAAAAAACAGTTACACCTATAGGAAAGATAAGGACAATCAAAAATGAAAAGACAATCTTTTCTGATACCTTAAGGGTGAAAGCCTTAAGAAATAATGAAAAAAAATGGTCAATAAACAAGGATGCCCAATTTTCTTGGTGCCCAGTAGTCTGAATTGTGATTTTTCTGTCTTTCAAGAGCATGACAAACAAAATCACCATGGAAAGAGAATTTTGCTTAGCTTCTTGCAGTCATCCCTGTTTTCAAAACTATTCATCAGTTTTCACACCCCAGTAGGAGGTCAAGAAGTCAGACACTGCAGAAATATTTTTCAGCCACATTTATACTCTATTACAACACTTTCACTCCCACGTATTCCCCATGTTTGGAACATCACATATCTAGCTTTTGAGAAGTCTTTGCTCATGTTCTTCCAGTGCTTCCRCACTGGGGTGACTGGAAGGGTGATTTGCCACACGTAGCCTTTGACACAAGTTCTTCCTAAACATTAGATTTAGGGTCTAGAGCTAATGGAGGTGCAAAGGTACTGCCCTGGTTGCTCTCACCTTTAAAGAGGTATCTAAGAGAGGTGGGATGAAGAGCTGTAGAGATGTTTCTGTGTTAAAATAAGAAGTAGTTTAAAGAGCATGACTAAGCTTTAGCTGTCTAATGCTCATAAAGGAAACCCACTCTCTTGATCACTACACATGTGAGGAGGTATAAAATGTCAAAAGCAGTGTAACTGCAAACTGGTGCTGTTTATACGCAGGCCTGGAGTGGTTCTTGTTTAAATGAAGAACAAGTTGCCTCGGTGGCACAATTAAGGTTTGCATACTTAATTTTTAGGGGATAATAAAAAGTAAGTCTAAAGTGTCCCCATGCATGAACTGTGCAACACAACAGAGTGACACTTAGACCTGGCACTSGTAGTGAGAGGAATCCAGCCAGTTTTACAAGCAAGAAGAACTGTACATCTCTCTCTCTCTCAATTCACAGGAACAAATCTGTGCTCTGATGCATTCCAGCAAGACAGACTGACAGTGCATGCATCAAGAAATCTGGATGCAGGTGAGTTTCGCTCCAAATAAAAAAAAAAAAAAAAGATGTTTTTTCTCCTAATGTTTAAACAGAGTATAGATTTAGTTGCTACAGTGCCAGCAATCCGGATGGCAATGTGCTCCAAGCTGGAACGCGTGCTTGGCACCTGCATCCCGGCGCAGCTGCCTTTCTGCTGTGCCCTGAATCCCCCCGGTGGCATCGCCGGGTGCTCCCGCAGCCGGGACCGGCGCAGGGCACCCGCGCCCCGGCACCGTCGGCACCGCCCGCTTCCATCACGGCCGCAGCTAAAACGCCCCTTTCCCTGGGGAAAGCCGTGCCAGGTGGCGGGCGCGGTGACGAGCGCCGTCCGCTGCATCCTGCCCGAGGCTACTTTTTGACGGGCTGTCCCCATCCCCGCTGCAAAACTCCGCCGGGGAGGCGCAGGGATTTGGGAGAAAAGGAAAATACATATTTTAGAGGGAGCGGGTGCCAGCCGCGGCGGGGCGGGGCGGAGCGGAGCGCGGGGCGCTGCGCGGGGTGCGCGGGGCTCGGTGCGGGTGCGGG